GACGTGCTGGCTTCTCCTCTCCCGGCCGTGCAGTGGAGTGACCCTCCGCCGGGGTGACCTCTGGTGCGGGCCCACAGGGCGTCCCCCCCAGCATTGGCTTGCGCGCTTGGATTTGCCCCCCCCCCCCCCCGCGGCCCCCGAAGGCCGCGTACCAAAATTTATTCTTGCCCAGGGTCAGTCTTGCGTGTAGCCTCCCAGGGGACCTGAAGATACTTCCCCCTCCGGTACGCATTGTTTTTTTCAATTGAAGTGCCCCCCTTGGGGTTCGCAGCTTATCTTAACAGGGAAAGCTTGGCACCACCAAGTTGGACCCTTGGCCCCCGAGTTGCAACAACACCGGCTTCCGCCTGATGCTTCCACACACCGTATTCCAAAATCGCGCTCTCGCGCGGGACTTCCTCGCAAGTTATGTAGGAATCGCGCTCTGGCGTGGGACTTCCTCCCAATTTACTCAAACGCCGCACCCCCGACACTCAGGAATCACGCTCTCGCTGGGCCATTCTCACGTTTTACTTTCTGGAATCGCGCTATCGCTCCAGACTTCCCCGCGATTCATGCAGGACTCACGCCTCAGCAACCCGCCTGCTCGACCTGGCCGCTTGGGCCCGTCTCCCCGACCGCCCGTTAGGGTCTACCCGCCCGATTGTCCCGTCTGGTTCTGCCACGTGTTTTCTGCTCTTAGCCCCCCTCCTGCGAATCCCGTGCTCCATCCTCCTTCCTCCCCACTCCATCCGTCTTCTCTTCCCTGTTTCAGGGGCTGCACCAGCTACACGCGGCAGATAAAGAAGATGTGCCCCCAGGGGGGTACGATCGAAGACGAAGAGGGCGGGTACCGAGGGTTTGGGGTATATGTGATGAATGGCACGCGAGCAGGTAAGAGCGAGCAGTCTTAAACTGATTGAATGCTCACGTCTAAATAATGATTATTGTTGATGTCCGGAAGCGGTTCCGCGCGCTCTCGCCTCGACGCGGGCTACATTTTCTGTGAAAACGAGGCTCCCGCTCGAGCGTTGGCTTGAGCCTAAATGTGGGCCCTTGGAGGCCCAGCTACGACAACAACGGCTCCCGCTCGATACGTCCTCACAATTTACCCCGAGTCACCCTGGCCAGAGAGGCCCCCCAACTCAGGAACGGCGCTCTCGCTCGAGACTCTCTCGCAATTCAATTAGTTGACGGAGGCCCAGCCACGACGACAAGGGCTCCTGCTCGATACTTCCTCGCGATTTACTCCGAGAGCCCCTGACCAAGAAGGCTCCCGAATTCAGGAACGGCGCTCTCGCTGGAGACTTTCCCGTAATTCAGGCAAGTTGGTGGAGGCCCGGACACGGCGACAAGGGTTCCCGTTCGATATTTCTCCATAGGTATTCCGAGAGCCCGTGGCCAGAGAGGCCCCCGAACTCAGGAACGGCGCTCTCGCTCGATATTTCCTCGCACTTTAGTCAGTGGCCGACAAGAAAGATATTCCCCCCGAAAGGGGGTGCAATCGAAGACGAAATGTTCGGGTATCGAGGGTTGGGGTACGGAATGCAAGACACGCGTGCCAGTAAGAGCGAACATTCTCAAATGTATTGTTGTTGTTGGTGTAGTCGGCGTTGTTGTTGTTGTTGTTGCTGTTGTTGATGTTGTCGTTGTTGTTGTTGTTGTTGTTGTTGTCGCTGTTGTGGTTGCTGTTGCTGTTGCAGTTGCTCCTGATGCAGTTTTTGTTGTTGCTGCTGCTTTTTTGTTATCGTGGTTGTTGTTATTGCTCCTGTTGCTGCTGTTATTGTAAGTCTTGTTGTAGTTGTCGTGCTTGTGGTCGTCGTTGTCGTTGTCGTTGTCGCTGTTGCTGTTGCTGCTGCTGCTGTTGGTTGGTTGGTTGGTTGGTTGGTTGGTTGGTTGGTTGGTTGGTTGGTTGGTTGGTTGGTTGGTTGGTTGGTTGGTGGTTGTTGTTGCTGTTGTTGTTGTTGTTGTTGTTGTTGTTGTTGTTGTTGTTGTTGTTGTTGTTGTTGTTGTTGTTGTTGTTGTGTGTGGTTGTTGTTGTTGTTGTTGTTGTTGTTGTTGTTGTTGTTGTTGTTGCTGCTGTTGTTGTTGTTGTTGTTGCTGCTGTTTTTTGTGCTGTTGTTGCTGCTATGTTCGGCCTGCTGGGGCTTTCGCAGGGCCCCAGGGCCGTCGGGCATCGACGCGGGATGAAAAGCCAGTCCTGGAGGATGGCTCGAGAGCTCGGGGGGGTCGACCTTCTTCAGGAGGGAAGAACAGACACAGACACAGACACACACAGACGTCGATGCCCAAGAGCGAATGGAAGAACATGGGAAGTGGAGGGAAGACGAAACTCCAGGAAGTACGTAAACAGTTCTGTTGCTTCTCTTGCACAGCTGTGCTCTAGAGCTCGGAGCCCTTTGTTTTCGTCGTCGTCTGTTCGTTCGCTCGTCGCCCCCCGGGCCCCCCTGCCCCCTGCCTCATGATGGCCGTGACGACCCCCGGAGAACACCAGGAGAGCCCCAAGAACCCCCCCCCTCATCCCGCCTCGTCGGGCCCTCGCCCTCCTTCGTGCAAGGGCCACATGTTTATGGCTCCCTTCAGGAGCGAAAGAAGGACGTACACGTACATGAATCCACGCTGGTTTCGAGAGGACGCATTGCCCGAAAGTTCGTATCACGCGGCCGGTCTCGCAGATCGAGGGGCCGTGTTCATGTACACAGCTGGGCGCGTACGTCCTTTGTGGGCTCCCTATCCCTGGGCCCCTTCAGTCAAGGGAGGGAAAACTACCTGGACCCGATGATTGGCGTTGCCTATACACGGCCTTGGGCGTTTATTTCACAGCCCTGCCCCGTTCGATTCCTCCCTTTGGTGCGTCTATGGCACGGCTTCCCGTGCCGCGGAGGTGGCGCCTCTGCCTCTGCGGAAGGGCGGCGGAAGGGCGGCGGACGCTGGCGGATGCAAAACGCGCGTAGGGGCGGGGCTGGGGCAGAGAACGAATAGTTTTTCAGCCCGAGCTAGTTCAGACCTCTCGATGCAACAGACGAACGCTCCTAATGCTTCTGGATCGGTTTCTGTGCGTACCAGCTCTGTAGCTATCCTACAGCCCGAATCCAATACAGAAAATGGGCAACATCTGTCAAGATGACTCGAAGAATACGAATAGTTTTGCGGACCTAGCCCGAGTAGCAGACCTACTCACCTGCCTCTGCTCGCCCTTCGTCGGGCTTCTGGTTTAGCATAGTGCCTACATTCCGAGGTGGGAATTTATACAGGACCACCGCCTGGAGGGTCAGTTTTCGGAGCCTCCGCAGGCGGTGAATGTGGACATATTCGGGCCCCCGGGGGCCGAAATATATCCATCTCCACCGCCCGCTGGGGCACCAGGACGTCGGTTCGCAGGCGGTGGGTATGGATCGATTCCCGCCTCGCGTATACCAGCGCCCTCCACGCGGTAGTTCAGAGCCCCACACGACGAGACCTCCTGCGCCAAAGGATCGCTGGGGGCAGTGCGCGGGGTGGTGATGCAGAACGGGGGCGGCTCCGCCGGCGGACGGTCAGCGGAGGCAGAGCGGAGGCGGCTCCCGCCAGCGGAAGGCCGGCGGAAGTGGGCGGAAGCAGTAGATGCCCCCACCAAGAGATGTACGCTGCTCCAGGAGGGACAAAAACACACAGACACAATTCATCGTCGATTCCCAAGGGAATATAGGAAAATATGGGAGGTGGGGGGTGAAGACTCAAATCCAGAACATATGGGGAACACATGGGGATTTGTGTGTGTATTTTTTGTGTGTCCTTGGGCCCCTTGAGCTGTTGGGGAGGCCTCAGGGTTTTCGGGGCTGGCCAGATGCCTCAAGGGGCCGAAGGGGCTGCCCGAGGCCTCCGCTCCGAGCCCGAGGGTCCCGCCCCGAAGCCGACAGCGGCAGCGGCAGCAGCGGCGGCGGCGGCGACGGCAGAAACAGTATTTTTCGGGGAGCAGATATGTACATAAACATAAACTTTCGGGGGTAGGGGGGCCACATACGACCCCTAACCCTACCCCCCAAGATTTCTGAGGGGGAGGGTGGGGTTCACTTCGCTCGGGAGCTCCCCACCCTCCCTCTCAGAAATCGTGCGGGGTAGGGGTAGGGTTCACATGTGGCCACCTATCGGGGAGCAAACAGAGCACATAAAGCAGAACCTCTCGGGGGTCCGCGGGGATTTCTCGGATCGGCCCTGGAGGCCCGTGGCGGCGCCTCTGGCGCTGCCCCTGGCGCGCTCCCCGCGCCGGGGAGCGAGGTCCGGCGCCGATCCCAGAAATCCGCGCGGACTTCCAGATTTTTGTGTCAATGCCATCCTTTTTCCTCGGCTTCTGGGGCGATCCCGGACCTTCGCGGGCCTCCCAGGGCGCAGCTCGTGGCCACGGCCAGGCCCGCCTCGGAACTCTGGCTGCAGCGCAGCCCAGGACAGGTGGGGCCGACGACGACGACGACGACGACGACGACGACGACGACGACGACGACGACGACGACGACGACGACGACGACCCTCCTCCTCCTCCTCCAGCTCCTCCTTCTCCTCCTCCGGCTACGACGACGACGGCCCCTCTCCTCCGACGCCGCACATTTTTTTGGCGTCGTGGGCCTGCGGATCTCGCCCTCTTAGCGGTGACCGGATTTGCATCCAGAGAGTTCCCCCAGAGGTCAAAAATTACATTGGAAGCCCATGCCAAGAGACACCCTGCTTGCCTCCAGGGTGCCCTGGGTTTGTTGGGGTTCGATGATTATACCGTGGAAACCGTGACATCCCCATATTAAGAATCAATGGACATCCTGGGATCTCAGGGTTGCGTTTCTTGTGGACGGTTTCTTGTGGCCGAGCTCCTATTGCACGAGAAGCTAGCCGTCGCGATATTTGTTGTGTCGCCTGGATATGATCGGGGGCGTCCAAGTGGGGAGTGATGACCAGGGGGGATGTTGTGGATATCATATTTTGGGCCATGATATCTCTTGGATTTCATGGCGCCCGCCCCCTGGCCCCCGCCGCGTCTGAGCACAAGCTGC